TAGTTTTTATTTATTTTATATTAGGTTATTTGGACATTTCCAATCGGTTTTGATTTAGTAAGAGATAAGAAAATCTATGCGTAAATTTTGTTTTTAATGCACACTGCATTATACTTTTCTCAAACGAAAGAAGTAACGTAATTGCAACTCATTTTTGATCAAAATTTAAAAAAAATACAATATGAAAACAAAAGGCGAGATCTATTTCGTCTACACTCAAATAATCTTAAACTTTTTGATCAGTCATAATTTTACAAAAAATTTTTTTTTTTATTTATTAATTTTGGTTTTTATTTGCAGTTCCCTTTTCATTCAAGACGAGGGCAAAGACAAATGGCAGGAAACACGGCAATTTTCTCAGTACATGGCCTCCTCGTTCAGGGCGGCTGGGCCTTTAGGGGAAATCCACTGGGAAGGCTGAATCAATTTAAATAAATAATTTTCCTCTTAACCCCCTCACCCAATTTCGTTCTAAATTGCCCGGTCATTTATTTTATGAACATTAACATCACGAATCAGCAAAACAAACCAAAAAACGTCTAAACAAGAAGATCCATAATTATGAAATAAAAACAGATTTAAACACAACTGATTTACTACTTTGTGGGCTAAAAAAATTAACAACACGATAACAAAACGAAAGAGTAGAAAAAGAAAGGGATGGAGGCATAGGAGAGATACAGGGAAATGAGAGAGAGGAAACGAATTTCAACGAGCTTCTCATTTGATAGAATCTTACAAAATAAAATCCAACACTCATGATTCTATTATTTTTGTAAGTTTCTATAATTACGAAGGAAAGCTCCTTTGCAAACCAATAGCTTATGTATATTTGAAGGTATGGGCTATCAAAATTCATATTCTACCTTTTAGTTTCAGGTGGTTCAACAGAAATATTTTGGAGGAAAAACAAGACGCACTGGCAAGGCCGATAAGATACAAATGTTTTACGTCATAGGTAACAGTTATCTTTACAGTAAGGTGCAACTACCGTAATTTGACAGTTTATGAGTCGCGAGCTGGCTTTCTTATCTAGCACATTATTTTGATATAAAATTTAAAAACTATTTACATTGGGCATATTTAAATGGAAAACACATGTAGATACTAATTTTAGTATACTATGAAGTAATATACATTTTTTTAAAGGCAGTGGCGAAAAGTATAAAACTGATCAACGCACGTTTTAGAATATTTTTTCAAGAAGAATTAGTTGATAGGTAAATAAATGTATTAATAATAGGTTACACACCATTTGAATAATTTTTTACAGAATAATTACCAAAGACAATTGACTACTATCGTTCTATTTGATTAACTCGATAAAAAATTTCATTTTTATTTAGAAATTAATACAGAAACTATCAGAAATTTTGCAATATAAGCTCTATACAATATTTGGCACCCGGCTAGTAATAGTTTTGAGAAGATAGAAATTTTACAACTACAATAATTTTATTTCTAATTAAATATTCATATTAATTAAAAAATTCACAACTAGAAGATTTAAGATGTTCAAAATCGTTTGCATAGTATAGATTTAAAACTGCCATAAAAAAGTGCGTAATTATTGGGTTGTCCGGAAAATAATGCAGGATTTTGGTATTAAACAAAAAAAAGAAACTAGTTACTTTAAAGCAATGTTCTTTAATCAAAATAATTTCCCATACTCTCAATACATTTCTCCCAACGTGTTGGTAACTTNATGAGTAATCCTGTAAACGTAAACAGAATATTTTATATAGATTTTTTTTAATGAAAACTTAAAATCCTGCATTATTTTCCGGACAACCCAATATATATAGAATTTAATAGTAGAAATATTAAGTAACATAGATTTTTATGAATTGATAAGTGTTAATATTATTATATTTTTATATGGAAAGAAAACTTCAATATATGCAGGAGGTGTTGCAATTAATGAATTGGCTGATAAAATTAACTCCAGTCGTTTAATTTAGTCCATTGAGAATATTCTACACCGAGTTAAATTTACATGAATGGCACCATTTTACTGATAGTTAACCAAGAAAATTAACTTCAATCGTTTAGTTTAATCCTGGATAGCATTTCTGCAGCAATGATCAACATTTAGTTTAACAGTTATTGGTACTTTTTAAAAACATTGTAGTTACTTCAACATTTAAGTCTGTAAAGTTAAATGGACACGATTTTGTTTACAAATTAACCCTGATAAGTCCAGAATGATTTCTTCCTTCTCGAGGTTTAAATTTCACGTTATAATTTTTGATCGTACAATAGTTTTTTGTTTTTTTTTGTTATAGAAACCAGTCTTTTGTGTTGAAATTTCCAAAAAAATATTGTCAATGTAATTTTTCATAGTTATTATTTTTAAATCAAAGATCCACGGCGTAATTTTTTTTTAATTCTGAGTATTATTATGTTTAAAAAAGTTTTTTTTGGATACAACGCTAATGTGGCCAACAATAAATGCAATCAATTAATTTATGATTAATTTAATACCACAAATAAGCGTAATTGGTTGTTTATTGATTGGTTTAACAAAAAATTGAAGTTGAAAAAACTGATTTAGTAAAAAATTGAAGGATACACATTTGTGTCTGTTCCTTGTTCACTTTTTAACCCAGAAATGGCATATTTTGCGGCGAAAATTAACAAAGAAATTACTTATCATTTATTTTCGCATCATTTAGAATATTCTACACCGATATTCGGCTTGTCAAAACAAGATAAATTTACATGAATCGTATAACTGTAATGATAAATTTACAGAGAAAATAAACTTCAATAGTTTAATATAACCCTTGATGGCATTTCTACATCAAAGATCAACTTTTAATTTAATATTTATTGATTTTTTTAAACAATGTAATTAGTTTAACATTAAACTTAAAGTCTATAAAGTTAAATGTACTTGATTTTGCAGAATAGTTTCTTATTTTCTTTCTTCCTTCTCAAGGTTTAAATGCAATGCTACAAATTTTGGTGATACAATATATTTTTGTACGACAACCAGTTCTTGTTGTCGGAAAAATGTGATCACCTTTCGTTGTGCTTACTTGAAAGCATGAAATTAACAAATAAAATTATCAAATTATGTCATTTTTGACGTTAAAATGTTTAAATCAAAGATCTACATCGTAATTCGTTTGATTAATTTTAATCAAAAATTATATTAATGTATTACATATTTTAGATGGTTCTGTTAACTAAAAAAATGGTCATGCGGACCATGAAAACTAGTGAATTTAAAAAAAAAACTTTAATTGTTTTACTATTTTTTATGCGAAGTATGGTTGAGTTGAAAAATTAGTGTTCTCCTTGTAACACTAATTATTCAACTCAATCATAAATAAAATATAAAAGTGTAAACAAAACTTTTTTGTGCACAACTCCCATGTGGCATCGTAAATGCTCGTTTAAATTATTGTGTGCTTATGTTTAATTTAATTTCACAAATAAGCGTAATTTGTTGTATATTTATTAGTTTAGCGTAACTAGTTAACAAACTTAAGCATAAAAATTTATTTGTGTGTTTTGCTTGTACACCTTTTAACCCAGAAATGGCATAATCTTGAGAAGAAAGCACAGAAATTAATTATAATTTTATTTCACGTTGGTGCAATAGCTAAAATATATTTAAAATATGGCTTTTTTAATGTTTAAGGCGAATTTAAGTCCTTATGAATTAAGTTTATTGACGATAAGATTTAAAAAATCGTTGCATTTATTATCTTTTTTTGTGAACTTTTACAGGAACACTGACGTCGAAACGTATTGAATTGTAAAAGTATTTCTAGTATGTTCAAAAATTATTTAAGATTCTGGTTGAGTGTCGAATAAATGTAATCGCGGCGTTTTAAAAGATACACCTTGGTGTAAAAGTAGCGCAATTTTGCTGAGAGGCGTTAAGACAGAAAATTACCTTTAACCGTTTTAATTCTAGTGAGATGCCAAACATAATTTAGCTTTTATTGCCGTTTAAAGTGTAAATAAACGATTTTTTATTAAAGAGAATTGAAGGTCGTGGAAAAGACAGTAAGTAGTTTACACGAATTTATAGGCATTTTAATTAGGTTTATAATTAGTTTTATATGAATTTTATAATACGAATTGTTTATTAAAGACAGACGGAAACGAGAAAACTTCAGACCTGACGCCAGCTATCAAATTTATACTAGAGAACTTCAGGCTTTAATCTAATAATTACTCAAGCAGGTAAAATTATTATTAGCGATTGTAAAACGATCCGTCTAACATACACCTGTGTTATGTAAAGATTAAATGTTGTCTGTGAAACTTAATATTCCTAGATAAAAGGAAAATGGTATAACGCGATATCTCCGGCACGTATCAATGTCAACATATATTTGTCTTATTGAATGATTTGAAATAAAAAGGCATTGAGGATGAGAAAAGTAAAAGGGGAAGATAGAACTGGTTACTTAAATATATAATATTTCATTTTGAGAATTGTTGTAACGATCGTTGAAAGTTTTCACGTAAATTCTAAATAAGTACGGAATACTTAAGTTGTTTTATATTGCTTGGAATATAAATGATATTCCATTAGCAGGGTCGGTATAAAGCTGCCAATTTAATAGATGTTTTCATATTAAACTTTTTTTTTTATAGGGAGTTGCAAAGAAGCAGCATCGGTTCGATTTTTTGCCGTAAGATTTCTCTTCCTTTTTCTTATTTATTTTTGATCTTTCGAAAAAATTTAACGACAGAGAGCAAAGGCTAGAAGAGGCACGTTATAACCCAGTGGCTTAGTCACCTAGTGAAGACCCCTTTCGCTCTCTACTCCCTCGGCACTTTGCAGAATCCGCCACCTGGTCCGCAAAGCCACGCTGTTTTCCTACCCTCTGGCACCGATCGCCGTTGATTCTGGCGTTTTTTCGTTGACCAGGATCAGACGTCCGTCCTTGTCCGATAACAGGGCGGCCTTGCGGGTTCAACCAACTTCGCCCCGATGCGCGTCTGTCCGCTTTTACAACCCTCAATGAAAAATTTACCTTATGTTATTAGTGGTAGAAGGCCTGACCATACGCTTTTCGTCTTTGGGCAGGCGTAGGTAATCTTGGTCCCCGAGGAGAAACAGATCCTTGGATATGATCATACTGTTTATTTTCTCTCTTCCCAGACTTTGGATATTTTTTCTGTAAAATTCTTGAATCTGAACTACTCCCAACCACTCACTAGAACACAATAACCATGGTGAACCGTTCCCGTTGGATGCCGAGTCGCGACTGTCCGTGCTCAACGAGTTAGCGATCCTGATAGCAAATGGAGGGGAGGTACTTTAACACCGGCGTAGACAGCGCCACCGTGAGTTCTCTAACAACTTTCCAGAGGCAAATATATTTTTTTTTCTATTTATTTATTTTTTTCTATATTGCGATCTTTCTTCTTCCCCCTATCTCGGGCGTGAATTCAATTAAGCACCCAGAGAGTACTTTTTCACCAATGCCTTTTTCCTCTTTCAACCCCCCCAAATGCAAGTACTTTTAAAGAAAAAGTTTTATAAATTAGTAGCCTCTAAATAGACAAATAGATGGATGTTATAATCCAACAAAATTAACGTGTTCGGTAGATTCTAAGATTTTAATTGTGATAAATTTTATTGAGCTGTTTGAAAATCTTAAATTTTAAACCTATTCTCATTTAGAAATGTGTGGTTGAGTGTGTTCTGAAACCTACATCACACCAGACCAATTTTATTATTATGACCTTGCTTCATAGAGTCAGCAAGGTGATGAACCCATAGTTTGGTCGTTGCCGATCAGTTTGGTCTGGTACATGATGGTAGTGTCCCGCCTGCTTATAACCCTGACTAATCACTGAAGATGTTAAATATCAAAACTGGTTCAACTATCGAGAACAGGCTGACCAGGAGATCGTAAACTCCAAAAATCCAAATTTGCATGCGCGAAAGCCCTTCGAAACAGTTCAATGATTCCATTTGAATTGCGTTTTCATTTTGAGGGTACACATCCAACTCGGGAGAAACAGACTGAAGCGCACTGAGCCGGCTGCTTCTCAAATGTTAATTAAAACTCATGCAAAAAATGTAAAGGAAAACTCACTAAAAGCGCATTTTAGACCATATCATGATGTACCTGGTCATTTGAATAAAATTCACCTATTTTATTATTATGACATTGCTTCAAATAGACTGCAAGGTGATGAACCAATGGTTTAGTCGTTTCCAATCAATTTGGTCTATTCTTACTATTCTGGCTTGTCAGACAAATTTTGGCTTTCAGCTTTTTCAGTGGTTGGACACAGTTGTAAGCAGGGTGAGGCTTACACAAATAAGCTACTGATCATGGCGAAATGTCTCATGTAACAGACCAAAACAGCTAGTCGTAGTCTGGATGTTTAGAGACAAACAATTTACTCTATTTGGCAAGATTTCTTTTTGGAATCTGTAGGGATATTGGCGTGGTGAGAAACTAACTTTTTACTTTAGCAGAAGTGTTTCGTAGGCACATCTTTACCAGATTGATTAGTTCATTGGGGATACGAAACCCTTGCTGAATATCACAAGCCTTTTGCCTTGACAGGCGGTCGTATGCGTACTTGAAATCGATAAAAAAAAAGTGATGCAGATCGATGTTATACGTAAGACAATTCTCATTTATCATCTCAAGGAAAAAATATGGTCGGCAGTCGATTTATGCGGAAACCTGCCTGGTGTCCCCTAGAATGCTTTCTGAATACAGAGTTAATCGTTTAACGACAAGCTTTGCCATAATTATATGATGGGTAACATTGCGATCACTCTGTAAATTTGGCACTTCTAATCTCTCTGTTTGAAGATATGTCATATAACTGCCTCACACCACTCGTCTGTCATCCGTCCTGTTGCCCGAACGTTTATTAATAGCTCGCAATTTTTCCCCCCAGGGAACTCATCACATAATGTCATTATTTCTCGGACTCTCCCGTCGACTATTATTATAAACTATAACTATTAGATAAGTAAATAACAGACGCGATGGACATACGCAGAAAACCCACAAAACAGGCATCATACATGCAAGTTTAAAACAACAACACTATATATAAAACGTGCGAGCTAACTAATTTACTTAACAAATTGAGCATAAAACCGGCAGCAAATAACAAATTGAAAAAATTCAACCAACCATCGCTAGGACTAATCTTCTCTCAAAAGCTGTTAGAATATCTAGGGATTAGCAGAGCAATGCATTAACAAAAACGGGAGAAGATGATTGAAAATAGAAAACGACCAAACTCCCGATTTGCAGACTCCTGCAGACCCCAAGAGGAAATTTCACAATATTTTAAGAATGAAAGAAAACTCAACATCATAACACACCCTCTACTAACTCTACTACGAACTGACGAACACAAATCAATAAAAAAACACATGATTTCGACAAAAACTTGCATAAGCACTTATGAATATAACAACTAAAAACATAACACACAGATCAACCACCGAAGATGACGAAACGAGTCTGATCAAACCAACAACAAATCCAGGTAACCACTATTGTTTGGTTTGCCTTATGAGTTTCACGTTCGCCATTCTTTGTGATGTGTTTAGATCGTTCCTCCCTTGCTTGTAAACTTAATCAATCACTGAGGATGGCGTGAAGTAAAAACAGACTGAAACGGCAAGGATTGGGAGACAGAAATGATCGAAGGCGACCAAATTACAATAATAAAATAGAATTTGGTCAATCACAAGCGTTTGAACATATTCAGTGATAAGTTAGTATAATGTCTCATCTTCCTTATAATCCTGTCAAGCCACGGCGAAATGTAAAACCCGTGTGATTACCTAAGCAAGAAATAGACAAGGGAAGTAGGAAATGACCAAATACCAATAATATATTTAATTTTATTGTCTGCAGACAGTAATTTATTCTTGCTGGTTTGGTCTGCCATAAGAGACATGAGAGAGAAATGTGTTTGTGTAAGGACGTCCGTACATGGTCACATTGCTAGGCGATGCGAACACGATGTGATCCCTGTGCAATTTATGGATTCATACGATATGCGATTCATGCTATCAAGCATCCGCCAACGGTACGATTCGAAGGTCGAAATCACCTGCCTTTATTGCAATTTATTTCGGGTGATCGTGTGAATTTTCTATTTAATATTAGATAAAAAGGTTCTTTAAAAACAGTGAATTATGTAACGTAGGAACGAAGAGGACGTTGTGGTTCCTCATCATTTGAATAATAATCTATTTTATTGTTATGACATTGCTGAGTCTGCAAGGTGATGATAGTTTGGTCGTTGCAAAACAAATTGGTCTGGTACATGATGATAGAGTCTCGCCCTGCTTATATCCCTGACTAACCACTGAAGATGTTAAATATCAAAACTGGTTTTACTAACGAGTAAATACAGAACTACTGGACCAAGAAAAAGAGCCCCCCTCTTATTGACGAATATTTACACATAGTCAACTCATTAAAAAATATGTATATAAACGGGCAGCCTACATCACAAGTACGCCTTGGACCACGCGGTCTACGGCTGCAAAAAATATATTTAAGGGATTATAACGAGGTACCTGCATATATGCCAGCGGCTCCTTGGTGTAGGACCTTGCTTGTGGTTTTTCTTGTCCTAGTTGCAAGAACCTGCACCTACATAGACCTTCTCAGAAACATAAAATGTGTTCTGCGGCCTCCTCCTCTTCCTGGCAGTATCTACACAGTGTTTCTTCTATCTGTACTCCAATCCGGTGCATGTGCTTTCTTAAGTGGCAGTGCCCTGTCAGGAGTCAACTAGAATCCTGGTTTGGTTGCCGTTGCCATCCAGTAGTTCTTTCGTAAGTTTTGGGGATGGTCCTTCTATGAATCTCTTTGCGTGCCTCATACCTGTGGTATTGTTCCACTAGTTTTGGACTCATTAAGGAGCAACATGTCAACCTTTTCGTTGCCCCTATGCCTCGAATGTCCCCATGCCAGGGTCAGGTCTTTAGTGTCACAGACTTCCGTCAGGACCTCCATGCAGTTCCAAACATTCTTTGTCGTCGCCTCGCATGAGGCTAGGGGCCTAAGGGCTGCCTGGCTGTCAAAGAAAATGGCTATCTTCCGAACCGCACTGAACTGGCTGCTTATGTTAATTAAAAAATGTTAATTAAAATTCTTGCGAAAAAAATTAAATTAAAACACTAAAAACGTCTTACTGGATAAGTTATCGAGTAGCACAGGCTGGTAAAGCCCATACCATCGCCGAAACCCTCATAAAACGGTGTGTTAATGATATTGTAACTTTCTTGTTTGACGAAAAAGCAGTACAATTTATATTTTCGGTGCCCTTATCAAACCTTACTGTCGAAAGACGGATTCTTGATTTATCGAATGATGTAGAGGAATCGCTGGTTTCTCGCATCCAACACAGCTCATTTTCTCCCCAAATAGACAAATCAAGTGATGTCGTTAGGTTGGCTATTTTATTGGTTTTTATCCGTTATATTTCTTTTCATGTGCAAACCAATTCTTGCTAATGCAACAGATGCTGAAATATTCCGTTTGTCTGACGAGTTTTACAACTAACGATATTCCTTAATCCTATTGCATTGACTTGTGCACAGATGGTGCAAAAGCAATGGCTGGCCAAATGATCGGAGTGATTACTAAAATAAAAGATAAACCGAAGAATTGCAGCAGCATTCAGAAAGAATCTGATTGTCTCCTCTGTGGATAGGTCACACCAGGCTGTCACATTGGCATCTTCTCGCCAAAGAAAGACCAAGGAGATGCTCTCTACGTGGTGCAAAGTATCTGTACAACTGGGCTTCAACCAGGTGGTCGCGGGGAACTTAAAAAAATTAATAATTACAAAAATAATCGTAGAAAAACTAAATAAAACTAAAAAACTAATGAGTACTGAAAACGAATGTTTTTTATTTTATTTTGCCTCAGCAGTCATTATGTTTTTCACTGATATGTTTTAGCTATGAAACAAATGCCAGCCTCTTTTAAAAAAGTTCTGGATGAGTCTGTTCAAATTATTAATTGTATCTAGTCGCTGCTTTTCAGAATTCTATGTGGCGATATGGAAAGCCTTCACCATTCCCTGCTTCTCCATACAGAGAAAAGTGGAAAAGCACTTTCCCGAATTACTTCATGGATCACAATGTCAAATCGGCCAACGTTTGCAATGATGAGAAATGGCAATGTACTGTCGTATTTATCATATATTTTCATGAAAATGAGTTGAGTCTTTCTGTGCAAGTGAAGAGTATCACAACCTTCGATGCTAATGAGTAATGACAAAGT